CCCCCATGGACCCAAGCAAATTTGGGTACCAAAAATCAAAACTTAATTTTGTTTTGTAGGAAAAGTTGATGGCAAAGTCATAAGAAGAGTAAAGTTGATCTTGATAAAGACTTATGCCTCAACAAGAATGTTGGAGTGAAAGTGCAGAGAGAATTTGTTTTTGAATGCTCCACTCATGTGTTCAAATTGGTATTATTTATTTTATTGCATTTATTCATTGGGTATAATTACTTTAACGTGACTATCAATTATTTGTTTATGTGTGTTCACTCTTTGATATATATGCTTGTTGAATATAATATCATTTGATGTGATTATTAAAATTTATGCAAATTAATGAGCTTGGTATATTAGATCCTAGTGCTTGATATGGTTTTTGAAATTAATGTTTTTTTGCTTATTAGAATTTATGCATATTGATGACTTTGATATATGTACCTTGATTATATTCATGATATTTGATGATGCATACATTGATATATGACTAAAGTTGCATTATTTAGTAGTTGATGTCTAATTTAAACTTAGTTAAATGAAGAAATATCAAATTAAGATGCATTGACTTCCAAACAGCCCCAAACCTTTTACTTGTTCCAATCAAGGCCAGTAAAGCCGGCTCAACCTTTCTCATAGCCGGCTCCACCAAAAAAACCGAGAGTCTTCTCTCTAAAGTTAAGCCGGCTCCAAGACTAGAGCCGGTTCTCCTGCAGCTTTTTAAATATTCGGGCTTCTCTCTCTTCGAACTAGATCTGTCATTTTCCTCTCCCAAACTCGCCATTCACTTTCCCAAACACCAAAATCCCTCCAAATCTCCAAAACCCATCCCTTAAACACTCAAATACCATCAAATCCTTGCCTACCCAACACAAAACCTCAAGCTTTTCACTTCAATTTGTGTGGGATCTGCTACTGCTGTATTTTTGGTGTGGCTGTTGGGATTTCTCTTTCATGGCTTCAAGAAGGGCTAGAAGTAAAAGGAAACAAGTGGGTAATTCTAACACCGGTGGTCAAGCTCAAGAAGAAGGTAACATCTCCCAATCAAATCTCTTTTTGGATACCCAAGCCTCTGCAAAGTAGGAAACTATCAAGAATATGGCTGTTTTATCTTGCAATTGTGTAAAATTCAGTCAATTTCCTCAAGGAAATATGCGTGTTGAACAAATGTTTAGGGAACTTGGGTGGAAGGATTATGTAGAAATTAAAGAGCATGTGTACTGTGAAGTTGTTCATTAATTTTATGCTAATTTGAAACCAAGAGTGAATAAATGCAAAACTATGGTTGTTGGGGTGTCATTTCAGTTTTCACCAAGGAATATTTGTGCTGTATTAGCTATACCTGAAGGAGGAGATGATGAGTTTCAAGATGTGAATCATGCCTTAGTTAGAGCAAGAATTGCCCCTAATTGCACTGAAAATCAAATTAAAGTGGGGTCCCTCTTACCAGAAAATAGGGCACTACAGTGGATTATATCTCACATTATAGCTCAGAGAAAGGGGTCAAAATCTTTTGTACTTGTTAGTGATCTTCCCTGGTTCGACTATCTTTTTAACGGAAAAAGGGTGAATCTTGGAAGATTCATTTTCTGGAGCTTAATCAAGAATTACTCCTCGAATATAGGTCTTCCGCATGGTGCATTGATCACTAGGCTAGTAAAGAGGAACAACATTGATCTTGAACCTTTTAAGCATGGGAGAATTAAAGCTGGGACCATTCTCACTAAAGCATCTTTTGAAAAAATGCAAGTTGTGTTTCGGAATGGTAGTTGGATGAAGAAAGGGGATCAAGCAATGGAACAGCAAGCTGATGAAGAAGAAGGTGATATAGATTAAGAAATGACAGAACAAAGGGAAGAAGAACATGAAGATGACAGCCCAAGACCCTTTCGAGTCTCCATGCAAAGGACAAACCGTGAAACCATGGAGTTAATGATATCTGAGATGCAGCAGCTACACACCGACTTTTATGGTTTCCAGACAGAAATGAGAGGAAGAATGAATAACATGGAAGAAAAGCTTGATCGGCTTGTTAACCATTTTTTTCCTCCACCCCCACCTAATGCCACCTAACTTGATATTTCTTTAGTTTGGCTAATCTTTAGGATGGACATCTTAAGGTTATGCATTTTATGTTTTATTTGACTATGGATATGTCTTGAACCTTTTTATCTTGTTTTATGAATGGAAATGGCATCACGTCTGTTATCATGCTTTGTGAATGGTTGTTTATGATTTTGATGATAATATGCTCTTATTGAGGGGGAATTTATTGGTTGATGATTGTATTCATGACTATAGTTGTCTATATTGATGATGATTGATGATTATATTCATTACATACTCTTGATGCTTTAAAGGTTGATAGCATGAATTAAGGGGGAGTTTATTGCTTATGTTTATATACTTTTTGATGAATGGCAAAAAGGGGGAGAAAGTATGCTGAATTCTCATAATTTTCTGGAATGTCTTAATGTCTTAATGTCTTAATATCATTTTCTTGGTGCTGAAATTCTGAGGTTAATATTGAAGTGTATATGCTTTCATGATCAAAGTGTTTTGTCATCATCAAAAAGGGGGAGATTGTTGTACCTATGATTTTGATGATTACAAAACACATTTGAGTGACTAATTGATTTATTAAGTGTGTAGTTAAATTGCTAATATACTGCAAAGTAAACAAAATGAGATTGCATTAAAAAGGGCTCAAAGGGCAAAAATGTGCAGAGAGCCGACTTAAGAATATTATAGCCAGCTCTGGGAAGCAAAAGTGCAGAGAGTCGGCTGCAGATTTTGTTGAGTTGGCTCTACGGGCCAGAAATTCAATTGCTGTGTTGGCGCGCGCGGAAAATGGAAGCAGAGCTGGCTCCAACTTTATAGCCGGCTATGAGGGCGCATTTAATACACAACGATCGACTCTTTTGAAGAATATTTAATGTATTTAAAGTTGGAGTTCCAAAGCCGGCTCTCGAGAAAAACAGAATGTGCAGGAATCTTGCAAAGTCGGCTGCAGAAATGGTGAGCCGGCTGTACAGAGCCGACTCTAGGAAGTTAAGCCGGCTCTCCTGACAATCCTGCAACTCGAGCTTTGCGTCTTGCAGAGCATTTAATGACCCCTAACGGCTAGAAATGGTTATTTTCAAGCAAGGAGCTATAAATATGGTTGGTACCAGATCTGAAGAAGTTAAGAGAGCATTGTATTGAATATCTTTACCTACCAACTTGTGCTTTAACTTGAGATTTTGATCTTTGAGAGATCTTTATTGTAATCCTCTTCTTGTTCTATTTGTGAGTAATCTTGAGGGTGTGACTAGTCCTTCAAGAGTGATTTGTAGAGAGGATTGTTTGGGTTTATCTTATAAAGGGGTGAGATTTGAGAGAAACACCCTTATTCTTGTAAAAGGATTGAGTGGCTCTTTTAAACCACCCTTGTTGTTGTTAGTGGAGAGTGTGAAGGAAATCCTTGGTGAGTGAAGCGAAGGTAGAGGACTAGGCTCCAAGTTGTTGGACCGAACCTCTATAAATCATTGAGCAAGCTCTTCTTCTCTACTCTATTTAATTTGGGTGTTGTGGTTGCAAAAAGGGGAGAATTTTTAGAATTTCAATTCACCCCCGCTCTTGGAGTACATTGAGTCAACAGAAATGAAAGAAAATGATGGAAGGAAAGAGAAATAAGGAGGGCAAGTAATTAAAAGGAAGAGAAAGATGAGAAATATGGGTGTGGAAGGTGGAATGAACGAAAGAGCAGAAAGAAGCAAGAAGGAAATGTGTAAAATACAATTTAAAGTGCCTAAAGTGTTTAGACTATTTCGGTCAAAAATTTTGACCGAAATAGTTTTGGCGGACAATTCAAAATGTTTCACTTTATTTGCGGAGCCAAAACATTAATTTTGGATAAAAATTTTGATCGAAATAAGTTTGGCGAAAATTTTAAGAAATTTCACTTAATTCTTGTAGTCAAAACAATATAATTTCAATCAAGATTCTTGACCGAAATAGTTTCTCAGAAAACTAAAAAAATTTAGGAAAGAAAGCGCCATAATAATATAATTAAAAAAAAGAGACAATTATTTCGATCAGGATACTTGACCGAAATAGTTTTACAGAAAATTAAAAAAAAATTAAGAAAGAGAGTGCAATACTAATACAATTAAAAAAAAAAAAGGAGAGAATTAATTGGGTCAATATGCTTGACCGAAATAATATCATAGAAAATTAAAAAAATTTAGGAAAGAAAGAGTCATAATAATTTTCTATAGAATTTTTTTTTTAAAAAAAAGGAAGACACTTATTTCGGTCAAGTCTCTTGACCAAAATAGTTTCATAGAAAATTTAAAAAATTAGCACCATATGAATAGAATTTTAAAAAAAGGAGACAAAAGACATAAGAGGCTATTGAAATTGTTTTATAAGCAGATTCCCAAGGTGATGTAAAGGACACTTGACTGTTGTTTTTGCTTGATCTTGCTTGATTTTGCTTGTATTGGTTATGAGCTTCATGTATATGGGTTGGAGCACCCCTTGTGCTCCTTAAAATAATATCCATTTTATTTGCTGATAAAAAAAAAGGAGACAATTATTTCGGTCAAAATGCTTGACCGAAATAGTTTTATAGAAAAGTAAACAAATTTTAAAAAAGAAAGTATCATACTAATACAATTTTTTTTAAAAAGGAGGCAATTATTTCGGTCAAAAGTTTTGACCGAAAAATATAGCTAAATTAAAACAAAAATTACTTAATTAATTCGGTCAAAATTTATGACTGAAATGTTTACTATTTTATTATTAATATAACTCAGATAAAATACTTGATTGAATTAACGATAGCGCCAATTGGCACTCTTTTATTTCGGTCAATATATTTAACCGAAATAATTTTAGATCAAATTATTATGTTAAATACTTTTTAATCGGACTAAAATATATTTCGGTCAAAATTCTTGATCGAATTAAGTCTTTTTTCGGTCAAGATATTTTCTTGTCCGAAATATTTTATTCGAAATAAAGCTTTTTCTAGTAGTGTCACTTTAATTAAGATTTTAAGTTTAATTCTCTTGAATAAAAAAACAATCATTGAAAAAATTTTCTCAATTTTAATGTAATTCAATTTCATATTAGCCAAATCATATTCAATAAAACCTTATTATTTAACATTTCTATGCATATTGTTATTTTTTATTTTTTATTTTGATTCTCTCAAATTTAACAACACTAGAATAACCACCACCGAAAGTTAATTTAAGAAAAATTAAAATAATGGTTAACATATAAGTTGTTGTTGAATCCAATCTTATGCAGGTGCCCAAATTGGTGTTTGTTATGGCATCCTTGGTAACAACTCACCGCCCCGCCCAGAAGTCATAGCTCTCTATAACCAATACAACATCCGAAGGATGAGACTCTATGATCCGGATCAAGCTGCGCTCCAAGCCCTCCGAGGCACCAACATTGAGGTCATGCTCGGCGTCCCCAACACTGATCTCCAACGCATTGCCGCCAGCCAGGACAATGCCAACGCTTGGGTCCAAAACAACGTCAAGAACTACGCCAATGTCAAGCTCCGCTACATAGCTGTTGGGAACGAAGTTAAGCCCTCGGATTCTTTTGCACAGTTTCTAGTCCCCGCCATGCAGAACATCCGAAAGGCACTTGCGGCTGTCGGTCTTGGAATCAAAGTTTCAACGGCCATCGACACCGGAACCCTCGCAGAATCTTCCCCGCCGTCCAAGGGATCTTTCAAGGCGAATATATGCCGATTCTCAACCCTCTAATCCGTTTCTTGGTGAACACACAAGCTCCATTGCTGGTCAACTTGTACCCTTACTTCAGTTACATTGGCAACACTAAGGACATCCCCCTTGATTACGCCCTCTTCGCGACTCTGGCGCCCGTGGTGCAAGACGGGTCTCTACAGTACCATAATCTTTTCGATCCAATTTTTGACGCAGTCTACGCTGCGCTTGAGAAGGCCGGCGGAGGCAATTTAGAGATTGTTGTATCAGAGAGTGGCTGGCCTACTGCCGGTGGAACGGCGACGACGGTTGATAATGCAAGGACTTATAACAACAATCTGATTCAACATGTGAAGCGAGGGACTCCGAAGAAGCCTGGAAAGCCCATCGAGACATACATTTTTGCCATGTTTGATGAGAATAATAAGGAACCGGAGTATGAAAAACACTGGGGGCTGTTTTCTTCAAACAAGCAGCTTAAATATCCAGTCAACTTTAATTAAGGAAGTAGGAAAAATAAGGGCATTGAAGTTGTTTAATCTTGTTGTATAACTAAATAAATGCACATACAGATATATGCAAGGCACAATTGTCGCCTCTATGCACCCAGAGAAATGCCCAAATAAATATACGAGTTAATTAATATTTATCAACATCTTAGATTATTGAACGTTATCTGGTTTTTGATATTGTAATTTGTTAATTATTTTTGTTTTGGACGGTCCTGTTTCTCATGGTATCTATATTGCACACCACTCAAAACTAATTTCTTTTTAGTAATATTAAGAGTGCATCCCACGTCAACTTATTGTGTTCTAAAAAATTAATTTAGTTGCATTTGGTTGTCTCAAAACTTAAATCTTATATTTGATTTAAAGACGACACTTGTTTAATGATAAAATATCCAACCATAGAGATGTATTTTGGGTTTGGTAAATTAGATTACAAAGA